GCACCGACAGCACTGAAAGCTGACATTATACTGTAGGATGTGCTGCAGGTGTGCAGGCCTGGGAACGTGCTCTAATTACATATTTTCCTGCCGCGCAACAATTAAGGTCGCCAAAATAATTGCCAGTTTCTTAATCCCTCTCTAACAAGACTGACATAAGGAATGGTTTATTTTTCTCTGGTTGTTTTGAAAGTGTTCCTCAAGATTTTGGTTTTCTATGGAACTGCATAAAACTAATTCTTATGTTCAGATGTGTGATTATACCCATTGTTAAAAAAAAAAAAAAGCCTGTCTTTGAATTGTGGTAAAACTAAAATAATAAAAAAAAAAAATGTGAATTGTATAACCTGGTAGGTGGTTTAAATATTTTTCTTTTAAAGAAGGTAAAATTTCTTTATAACCTTATGTTTCTCCTTTCTGAATTGTTCAAATCATGTGGATGTTAAAATGTGCTGGAGTGGGGGGGGGGGCGGAGCAGACCACAGGAAAGCACAGACATAATAGGTGTCCTCACTTACTAATGTTGGGGTTTTTTTTGGGGGGGGGCGGTAAGGGGGTGGTTACAGCCTTTTTAATATTCTGATTAAATGTATGGACTTGCTGTCCAGGAAAATGCATCAATGTACAAAACATTACATGTAATTTCTGGTGGTTCACAGATTCCTCAAAAAAAAAAAATCCATTAATGAATTCCAAGGAAAGAATCCTAATTGAATAATAAAGCTTGCAATTATTTATATACCTCCCTTCATTCATCCACTCTGCATTCTCTGAGCCATCTGACCATCATATGAAGGATATAGTATCTCCCCCCAGGCATCAGGAATCAAGTTTGTGGGATTTATATTCTTAACTAAAACCCATTTCTTTCATTATCATTAGTTGTCAATTTCCCATTTTAGTTGGGCTAATTGGGCAGAGCTGAAATCATTTAGAGAATTTTGAGCCAGCTTACTCACTCTTGCCCCCTTTCCTACAAATCAGAAGATAGCAGTGCGTGCTGATTGAGTACTTAGCAGACAAACTGAAGTTATGTCAAGCGCATTACGATTTAACACAGGCTGAATGGTAGGGGCAGCAGATGTAACTAATGGGGTTAGGGAGAGAAGAAGCCGGAGCTCGGTAAGAGAGAGGATGGGAGGGAAACAAAAGTGATTGTATCGGTAATAGAGACTTCAAAGGGGCTAGTTTGGAAGATTCGGTGGTGTTGGTGCGGTCCTAGCAAATGAAAAAAAGAGGCACATCTGCCTATAAAGTAGCTGAGAGAAGAGAGGGAAGGCCTTCCCAGAAAGAAAGCAAGGGAGGGAATCAAAGGCAAGGAAATGTCCAGATGTGGAAGAGAGGAAGTTTGATTCTATTTAGGGAGGTCGACGCAGGCCTCCTACAACTGGAACTGTCCCAAACTGTCCTGTTTTGGAGTGTCCCAACCATAAGACTTCTTGATAGGTTGGTGATAAATATGTAACTTTAATAATTTGACAAGACAATTTCATCCCATTTGAAAAGTTCTTCTTCCCTTACAAGACTAGTAGGTGGTTAAACATTAACTACTCTCCTTTGATTTTTTTTTTTTAATGGGTCAGACATTTAAGAACAGTGTTTAGTCAAAAAATGAGCTCTTAGTGGACGACAAATATGTGATTTTTATTGATAAAAGTGAGGAACAGGCATGCTGCTTCTCTCCTTTTGGAAAATTAATTCAATGCACTGATTTTTAGGTGAGGAGTGTGTTTGTGTGTGTGTGTGTGTGTGTGTGTGTGTGTGTGTATTACTGAAAGAATGATAGGGAGTGAGGAGAGAAGAACAAGGACAAAATCCCTGAAGTAGCTCTGTGGAGGGCAGGGTCATAACTGGGTTGTGCTACTAAAAATCATGCCATATTCCTGGGGGGGCTGTTTCCACCTACAGTGGACCATGTCTGTTGATCTCCATGATGAATGCTACTTGAATAATACCTCCTCAAGCACATCCTTTCTCACAGCTTTGCTAACCTGTTCAGAGAGGAGCTCTGAGGCCTATTTTGTACATACCCTGAAGGAAAGACTTGCCTCGATTATTACTCGACTCATTCTACCAGTCACTCAACAAACATTTCTGGGATAACTCGCAAAGTATGGGGCTCTGAGTCTTACCAACAGGTTCTCTCTGATACTGGTCTGAGACTTTGTGGGGACTCACTTTTGAACTCTGGGTGCTACTGTAGCATCTGGTAAGTAGCCAATGGTTTAGAGTGAAAAGCTTCACATACTTGTGAGCCTTAAAAGTACTTTTCCCATACAAAAGTATAGTCATTAGCAAACTAATTTTTTAAAACATTACATTTCAGGTCCTGGTTTAATCACAATCAGAGAACCAGCAGCTTTTTTCTGGGCATGCACTAATACACAGAGCATGCCAGTAGATGAACCCAGATTCATTTCTGACTGATAAAACTGCCATCAGTACTGAGCATTCACAAACACTTGTGATACCAGTCTCCTGATCCCTGAGTGCCTGCACACTCCCAGTTAGACACTATTCATACGATTCTACACCTACCCCATAAAAGGCTTTTTTTTATTCCCTAACCCAATTTCCTTGACCTGTGTTTTCCTTCCACCAGACTTCAGAGACAAAGGCAGAGCAGTAAATCATTTTCTTAGAAAAACACCATCAGGCTATTTCAGTCTTTGGGGCTGTTATTTATATGTCTTACCTGAAAAGTTATTTTGAGATAGTAGCTCACTAAATTATATTTTCCTCATTATCATTATTACTTCAACATAATCATTAATTTGCTCTTTGGCTTTCTAAGTGGGAAAAGATCAAAGAAATGAGAGTTCCCCTCAATTTAACTTTTCTTGAAAGGTAACTGATTTACAAACAAATTACTTGAGCCTTGTAAGGAAGAGCCAAACGTGTCTGCTCATTTGATACATTTTCAAGGGCTGCACTGTGGAAATGAAGCTCTAAGAAGCTCCTGTGTGATCCACAAACAACTTCACGCTGTATTACACGTGCATCAGATACAGAGACCAAACTCTGAGTTGCAAGCAACCTGGGATGCAGAATGCTTGCTTGGCAGTGCCTCAAACAGCTTATTTAAATTGCAAACTTTGCAGTCACTACTTACAGGTGATTTTGAAAGTTCATTATAGAAACTAAACAGCTTAGTCTCCGTACTTTGTTTCCTAAATCATACATACATCATCTTTGAAAGATGCTATTTAATCTCTCCTTCTCACACAAGCTCATCAACTTTGTTAAGAAATTGCCTTAGAGAGTAAAGATGTATTTAAAACATGCATGAAGCTTAAGCAAATATTCCAACTTGTGGGCAAATAATGTTAGAGACCTGGGTAGGAATTTCCAGGATGAAGTTTGCCTTGAATAGAGATCACATGAAAAGTATTTTGAAGTCATAACTTTACAGTGTAAGATGATCAAAGCCAAGTATTAATACTATTTTTTTTTATCAGCTCACCTTCTAAACAATATTTCAGTAGATTTCCTTTCACACAGTGATATTTGTAATAAATGTTCTGCCTTTGTTTTAAAGTCAGTCTGTAGAAAGATGACATCAGCTTAGCAAACAATAAAGTGCCTGTAATATTGTCTCCAGAGGGCTGTTACATTTACTTTGTAGCAGTAAAATTCAATTTTCAAAAAACACTACATGAATGATGTTAGGTTATTAACCCTATCACCACCGTAAAACATCATTATTGTGTGCAGAATGTAGGTCACAATCTAGAAGCCATAAGTTGCTTTTTTTTTTTTTTTTGTCAAATAATCCACTTAAGCTTCTTTTCTCTCCTATAGTCTGGGCTGGGTCCCTTCTTTGGGGGAAAAATATTCTGCATTTTGTTGGCAGGTTGGGACAAGACCACTACACTTTTCCTTCTGAGTCTCTTTTTCTTTGTTGTCATTCACTGACAGCTCTCAGTTTTGAAGCCATCCTTTGCATTTACTTAATCACCAAAGCCTACTGCTCTTGAAACAAAAATCAGTATATCTTGTCATATTATTTTTTTAAGTGACAGAGTCATACCTGTCACATGTTTCAGTTCTAGGACAAAAAGAAAAATGAGGATATGTCCTGAATCACACTCACACTTGAAGACCTTGAAGGCAAACATTTTATTTCCGGACTTTAAAAAGACTCACTCGCTTTACATTCGTGACAGCAGCAGTTACCTGATATAAGTGATTAAAATCCTTCCTGTTTAGAAAGAATGTTCAGTGACAGCACATCAGCCAACAAAGAGTTAACCAGTTAAACTTCTACAAACCCCCACAGTAACTTTCCAAAAGCTGACAATAAGTAAAAGAAGTGCTGGTTATCCATTTTTTAAAGGGATGGGATTGGTTTTAGAAGAAAGGGAAAGAGGATCAAACACCTCAATGCAACAAAAGGTTGTGTCAGAGGGCCCTCAATCACAAACCGCCCTCCACAACAGATATTCCAACCTTCCAGAGCAGTTACCCAGGCAGCACAGCTAAAAAGTTCCATGACATGAAAAGAACAAAAACCAAAGGGACAGAGGTAGTTATTGTCATGCACACTCCTCTCTCTCTCTCTCTCTCTCTCTCTCTCTCTCTCTTTCTCTCTCTCTCTCTCTTTTGGCTTGGGCTTTTCCCTCCCCCGTGAATCTTTTGCATAAGCTGTTAGAGAAAAGTAATGGTGTGGCTTTCTGAAAAGAAATTCCCTATTTGTAAGCTACCTCCTAGGTAGTGAGGTAGGCCCAGTGGATTTTCTGCAAGAGACACCTGATGAATGGAGAGATCATCTACATGAATACTTCAAAAGAGTCATCTGAAATTAATAAGTGTAATTATGGCCCTGTAAATATGGTCAATCTTCCCTTGAAAGCACTTTCTTTAAAATTGATGTTTTCTTCTCAGACAAATTCTGTCTTCAGTGCACAGTGGATATAAGTTATTTGCATTTTCTGTGTTGGGTCTTAGAGGTATCTTAACAGCATGTACGAATTTTCTACTAAAATGTAAATTATTAACAAGTCAGAGTTTTCATTTGTTTTATCTCCTGATGTGAGATCTAAATAAGTATGTAGAACACTTAAAATTCTTACCATTTCTCTGCTTTCTGAGAAATAAATCTCATGCATACTGCACAATATATTTTCTTACGCATAACATGCTTCCATGTAATGAGAAAAAAAAAAACTAATTTGAGGAAGAATCCTGTGTACTTCCTGCAGACATAAAGCAGAAGTATTAACCCAGAGGAACACTGGTCCTTCTTTCATCCTCATCCTCACTGTCATCTTCCTCATAATCATTCTTGAAAAGCATTTAAGTCTTCACCAGTACCAGGTGTGGTATCAGGTACGCTCAATTATTTCTGTCCTTGACTTTTAAGGTATAAGCTTTTAAGATATAAGCTACTGCTAGAACTAGATTTAAGAGACCCAGTTATGTCATCATTGAAATTTATATGCAAGGATAAAATAGCACACAGTGTGATGGTGACTAAAGGGGGTGTGATTGGGCAACTGTCCATTGAGATGTGGTAATAATGATAGCGAACGTTTTTAAATGGTACCAGCAGTGTTTGAGACAGATTATCTCATTTATTCTTCACTATAATTCATGTTACAGATGAGGAAACTGAAGTTCAGAGATGTTACCCAATGTCATTGGGAGCAAATGGTGGTAGCTGGACATTTTGAACTTGGACATGCTTCCAATAACAACACTTAAGCTACATCAGAAAGGAGGGATGGAAAGGAAGGAATTAAGTTTTAGGATCTGCCATAGATGTGTGTATGTCAGGAAGATGTATAGCATAAAAGGGTTTCTGAAGCAAAGAGAGAATGACTGAATAAAGAAGTAATGGTGGACTTTCTTTTGAAAAGAAATAAAGGGATTGGAACCATGAGGAGGTAGCTGGATGAAAAGGTATAAATAAACAGTAGAACCCAGTTCAGAGAGCAGTCGAACAGTGCCAATGGATCCCAAAGACAACGGATAGACCCGTCAAGGACATAGACAGGAAAAAAAGAAAGTTCGTGGATGTTATTAAAGTAAACTGGAGTTTGATATGCACATGTGGAGGGAGAGAGGAAAGGCTGCAAAGTCCCAGTGGGCTAAGGCCAAAGCCTAGACTAAGACCACAACTATGAGAATGAAAAGGAAGGGGGTGGATTCAGGAAATGTTGGCAAAGAAAAAGTGGCAACGGTTGGTAACAGACTGGATGTGGGGAGTGAGAAAGACAGTGGTGAGACAAAAATAACTATGGGGTTCCCAGTTGGGAGGTCTATGATAGGGTGGTATTTCCCATTGCAATGGAAAACTGGGCAGATAGGGAAAATGAGCAGTTTTATGCCATGTTATTTAATTTGCCAAAGTCAATGTCAGTAAGTTTTGAGGTCTCTTGTGGGAGGTATGTTTTAACTGGTGAATACCCTGACTCTTGTAAGAGGTCAGTAGTCTAGCAGAGGTAATTTCAAGTGAGAGGCTGTCAGGTGTATAGGGATCTGATGAGGGCAGCACGGATGTTGGATTGTTAAGAGAATAGGTATGTGCATATAAGGAATGCCAGGAAAATGAGGTAGAGGTTTGGGCTTAAAAAGAGGTGGGAGAAATTCAGTATTGGTTCTCCAAGCATGAGCAGAATGAAGTAGATAAGAAAACACTTCAGGCTAAGTCCTGATCATTGCCCCATACCCTGGCTTTATCTGTTTCAATGTTAACAGTACATCAATTCATAGTAAATTTAAGGCAATTTTTTTTTTTTTAAGAGTGTATGTAAGGTCTGGGAATATAGCTCAGTGGTAGAACATTCCCCTATGCAAGGCCCTGAGTTTGATCCCAGCACTGCAAAACAAAAACAAAAACAAAACAAAACAAAAAAACAAAAACACAATTCTTTCATTTTCTTGGGCCAAATATTCTCAAATATTCACCCACTTTCGCAAAGTACTATAATTAAGAGAGCAGAGTTTATACATAAAATAGTCACTAAAAAAAAAAATCTACCCAATGCCCTATCTTAGATTCACCAGTGTTTAAAAATATGCAGTCTCATGAAGGCATCTTGCCTGGGCAGTGGTGAACAGTGTCCTTCTGAAGGCAGAATACAGGAGGAAGGAAGGTATTATTTCAGCTGGGAGAAGAGCAGGGCTCTGGGATGAAACCCACTGAGTCAGACCAGATGAGTGGCCACACATAGGTGTGACAAAAATAGAAACACATTGCAAACATTCCAGGCCTTGTCTTCCCCTGGCCAGGAGGTAGGTCGCCTGTGCTGCTTCCTTATCTACCTCCTAATGTGCTCTCCAATCAAAGAATGTTAATGATGCCAATCCTTCTCAGCCATGTTAGCAGCCTGGCCACATGGCATCAGACCTGAGGTCTCCTTTAAATGAATGTAAAATGAGGCCGTGCATGCCTCCAGTCCCAGGCACTCATAAGTCTAAGGCAGAAGCACCACAGGTTCCAGGCCAGTCTGGACCACTTTTTGTCTCAAAATTAAAAAGCTTATACTAGCATATGTGAGACCCTGGGTTCAACCCCTAGTAATGAGAGAAAGAGGAAAAAAAAAAAAAGTTCATTGTCCAGAATTCCCTATCAGTAAAACCAAAGCAAAGCATTTCATTTACTGCCTAAATATGTTGTTATTATCTTAATTTCGTCTTCAACACGAAGACGACTTACGTGCCAGAAAATGGTCTGTATTACTTTCCTCCTAGGAGAGAGAAGGGTACACGTTTAAATAATTCCAGTGTTCTAACCAGTGATTAGAAACTAATTCATAGTTTAATAAAAGCTACATTACTACAAAATAACCAATGATTCTAACCTGGTTATAGGCACTTTAACTATTTGTTACCTCAACTGGAGGGCTTTTACTAGGGAAAGACAGAACCTTTTATTAGATAATCGTAACCATGCATTTCTTTTGTGTCATTGTCATTGGATGTTGAAGATTTCTCTTGGGACTGTTTTAGTTCTTACTTCAATGAATTAGTAAATTTTCAATTTATAACCTAAGGTGGTTTTTATCTTGATAGCATTGGTAAAAAGAAATGCAATGTTCTTATTTATTACAAGAAGTACTTTCTTACTTGAAGGGAAACTCAACATGCATGGGAAATTTTCTCTCATTCAAAACTGAAGTGTAGAAATTATGCACAAATTTGAATATTTATCAAAATTAAAGGAAACTCCAAAAGGTTTTTGTAAAATAATACAAAACCTAGAGAAATGGTGGGCATTTAATAACAACTCAGTGGCATTTCAACAAGTATGGGAGAGGCTTTGTCATAATAAGAAGAAGGTTTTCTCACTTGCCACCTCAAATGTCCTGTCCTGTTTTGTCCCAGCATGAAGTTTTAGTTTATGTGTTCTCACAGAGGCCTGAAACTATTACCTACTTGTTATAAACCTTCTCAGATTTCACTGCTGTGGGTTCATCGGTAGGTTTTGATTGACACCCCTGTCTGTCTTTCCTACTAGGAGGTTCGCAAGTAACTACCACCTGAAGGTCAAGGTAGACTATTGTTTTCACTTTAATCTCTATTTGCAACTAAAAAAGTAATTTCTCAGATATAAATTTGACCATTTGCATATGGAGGGAATTACTATTCAAATTAGAAAGCCATGTCTATATATGTTATTTTTCTTTTCACAATATTGCTGGCCCAATGTTGTCATGACATCCATCTGGAATTAGAATTCTCCAGCAGACTTTTCTCACGAAAGCATTTATTCATTTTTTTTTGTGTGTGTCATAATTCCTAGAAGTAATGTACTACTGATAGTTCTTGAATTTACCCTGCCAGTAGGCTGCCTTTTAAAAAAATTATTCCTGTACAGGTAGAGATTAGCATATAAAAAATGATTTTAATTTGTCCATTCTTGAACCTACCTATCTGTCAAACCCATGCATGTGGCAGCAGTTGGGTTCAACTTATCTCTACCACCTTAACAGCAGGTTTTAAATAGTCTATGGGCTGTTAGTTTATTTGTAAGCTGAGTTCATTTAACTCCCTTTCTCCAAACAAACCCAATAAAATAAAATACATAGACACTAAATTGTTGGTTCAGTTTCCGAGTATCAGACATAAAAATGATCATGTTCAAGAATCTGTAAAAATGGCTTCCTTTTGACATAAGAAAATAAAACAGCCAGTGAAAACCACCTCTTGACATCTACTTCATTTAATTCCTATGGTTCTTTCTGTGTGGAACTCAGTTTGTATAGTGCTTTTCTGTAGTTATCTTTTATGCTATTTTTTTAATTGCCAATCTTTCTTTTTTTTCTTGAAAACTAACCTGTCTAATTTTGCAGTTCTCTTTTGTGCCATTTGATTTGTGCAAACCACCACTCCAAAGGCCTCATAGAATTAAGCAGAATGAGATGCCTCAGTATTGAAGTAAGTATGGATCTACTATGTCTGCATGCTTCACTAAAGGACAGCATTCCCACAGGACAGGACCTGTCATTAGGTGGGCCTCAAAGGGTTAATGTGGGACGAGTCTCAAAATAGACCTGCAGCTCAGTACACCTACTCACTTATAAAGAATGAGCCGTAAATATGTACATGCAAATTCTATTTCAGTTTAAAGACACTTAAGTTATGATGGAAAAGTAGAATGCTCTTTCTCACCACTCAAAATTGAAGAAGATCAAGAACACTGGGCACCTTGCACTCTTCAAAGGCACTGAGCTGAGGGCAGCACCTGAAACAACTTTTCCCTGCCACCTACAGCCCTGAGACTGGAACAGGAAGAAAGTTCTCATAGGAAAATAAACTAGCTCAGTCCTCTTCCAACTAGTGTACTTACTTCTCTATACTTTACTAGCTTTATTGTTTTGCTCAGTTCCTGGGTATTTCACTGTCTCAATTCAGATGACCCTCCTAAAATCCAGTGATTTCATGTTTTGACAATAAAAAGTTTTACCATGTTAACCAATGCCCTAATGTGAATGGGCAGGTATTGGGGCTTCAGCATTTCATATGTTACTTGCAGATTTCAAACAGCTTTTTTTTGTGGTCAAAATTCTCCTGTTTCGGACAGTAAGAGGTGAGTGGACAATTGCCAAATGCAACTTTCAAACTTAATCTAGTCAGATCATTTAAAAACATTCACAGGGACAATGAAACAAAATTTATACATTATCTATTATCTTGCATAAATATTAGTCTTAATAATAAACTGTCTGGTAGACGTATGAAACCTGTTTGCTCTCCTATTGATGTTTTACTGGCCATAAGAGCTAAGACCCTACTTTATTTTAAATTTAACTCTATGAAAATGGGCAGTACCCAAGAAAATGCTAGCACAATTCCAGATAAAATATACTGTTGTGAGGCTGAAAAGTGCATGCAAAGCAAGCTGCATTATTAGAATGTTTAAATATTAATTATACCGCTGTGTAGTAAAGATGATCAAGTATGAGTGTCAACTAATTTTCTAAAAGCTGCAACATTTACTTTCATCTAAACTTCCTTTGTTAAACTAAAACTAAAAGCCCAGCAAGTTTAGTCTACTTGAGTGTGTTTATTTTTATTGGTTTCTGCATAATTTTTTTCTACCATAAACCAACTTTAACCCCTTTTCTGTAATCTCTGCCAGTATAACTCCAATAGCACATCATAAAATTCCTATAATTCTTCAAAGCCACGGAGTTGGAAAGGAAAGGCTTGGGCACTTTGTAACAAACGCCAGCTACGAGCTTCAGCCAATTACATTTAACTCTTACAAACCTTCCTGTGTGTGTGTGTGTGTGTGTTTGTGTGTGTGCTTATAGATTTATGCTCCATAGTCACTTTCATTTCCATTGTAAGCATTCTTCAGTTGCTTTTGAGTTTGAAGCTAATTCCATTCCGTGAAGAATACTAGGGTGGAGGTAGTACCTAGCTGTGATAGCTCGGGGAGGCTGGACTGACAGATGGGGAGGCAGATGTACAGAGCCATGTAAAATCAGAGAGACTTATTACCTTACATTGAAGCCTTAGCTGATGGGGATGAGAAGCGGCTTGAAAAGTGGACATTTTCAGTGAACTCTGGTGATGGGAGAGTTAACCAGAATCACTGCCACTTTCTCCCTTGTTTCTTTTCCTAGAATCTATTGCTCTCTTTCATTATAAAACAGCTACTAGAATCAGGCAGGAGAATCACTTTGAGATTCTTGAGAAGAGACAAAGGAAGAGCATGTGTGTGGAGGGAGATGCTCGGGTTTCATCCCGTCACCCATGGATGCCCAAGCCAGGGCTTCCCACCTGAGACAGATTGCGACGCATGTTCAGCTCACTCATGCACAAGAAGCAATACACAAGTTCAGTGTAAAGCCACTTTAAAAGCTCATCGGGTGCATACTTTACTTGTACAAAATACCTTATTCATGACGGAGCAGTGAGGGCCTAGGTAATTACTTGAATCAAGGTGGCCTCAGAAGTGTTTAAATCTGCAAGGACACTTAGAGCATGAATAATGCAAAATAATTTGCATCTAAATTTTTTAAGTGTTCTTTATTCAAAAACTAAAATGCAGTTCCGATTAAAGTTTGATGAGTGAAAGCTGAGCACTTCGTACCCACTGTGAAACATCTCCTATATGTGGAAATTATTTCAGACAGTGGTGAAGGGACAAAAGAGTTTTCTTTTCTTTCTTTTTTCTTTAAATTTAGGTTGTGATTAAGTCACACTTCTTTTAAACCTAACTTTCTTTAGGTTATTTAGTGGCTACCAAGTTAATTTCCAAAACTTGCTTATCAACTCTACAAGTACAAATTTCAATTCAGCCCTTTAGGAAATACAATGAAAACACTTACTTTCTTAGACTCAGTAATTTGCCAAGCAAAATAACATTTGAATCCAAAGCTAATGCAATGCAACTTTGTTTTTCTCTTACCTTAAATTTTTCACTCAAAATTTTCTTCCTTTGATATCAATAGACACAAAATATCTTGGCCTACTGTTATTGCAAAAACTTAGAATACTTCACTTCATTTTCTTGTTATTTTATTTATAGTTCTGTACGATATACATTATTTAATATGTCACTGGCAAATCTTCAGTGAGAAAGGTAAGCAGTGTGAATATGTTAACCTTTACTTTTTTAAGGAAACAACAATCAAGAAAAGCTAAAATCAACTGAAGAACCCAAAGCAATTTTGTTACAATTACATGTTAGAATGTTTACTATTACCTTAGAGTAGTTTTTCTTCATCTACTTTTCTAAAGTTGAACATTTTAGTTTATTCCAACGGAGTACTATAGTCAGATCAAATCGCATTTCCAATTTATAAATATTTTCTTAAGCAGTTGAAAAAAGGGAAGTAAATCAGAATTTTAAAATAATTTTTAGTTTTAGTTTGCTATATTTCTCTGATCTTTTATAATCACTGTGCTGCAAGCGATATAATCACTTGCTCCTGGACTCACAGTGCTTGTATTGCACTTGATTTTGTGAATATTTGGGAAATTACAATTCAATAAATTGCCATTATTTCCTCAAACATTCGAATCTTTTACCATGTGATGGGAAACTCAAGGATCTTTACCTGAGATAAAAGTAAATTTCAGTTAGAAAATAGGCCTTTCTTGCCTAGTTCACAGACATCCTTCATGGCTATACTGTGGTGGCAGGTGGAAGTCCTACCAGGCTGGTAGCAGGTCTGCCCTCCCCAGTGAATATTCAAGGTACGCTACTCTGCAATACACACCACCAAAACTTTAAAGGTCCTTGCAAAGGGAAATTATTTTCCTGCTATAGCCCTTATAAAGTGTAAAGACTCCCAATTTATTGCATGCTCCAAAGCAGGCTTCTACTTTATTGGAATTTTAGATGACTGTGTTTTCCACACTCTTGGTGAGTGTGTATGCTACTTTTTTTTTTTTTAAACAATGAAAACATTTTTAAACTCATTGAACAAAGATTTCCCCAGCAACAGACCCCCTGCTCAGCAGGTCACCTATCTTTGCGACAGTTTTTCTTTTCCCACGCTAACCCCAGGGCTCATTTGCATAAGGTCTCTGTTGTGACAATTAGTTTCAGGTGAGCTGATTTCTATGCAGCTTGCCCAAGACGATGCACAAGCCCTGGGCCTCCCTGATCCTGGTCCTAATTGCGACTGACTGGCACCAGACACAATCATCCTCTTGATTCAGCAAATTGTCCTGCTAGTAGCTTGTTGTGACCCCGCAATGCACAAATCATATCATGTCAGCCCAGCCCAGTAAACAACAAATAAAATATAATCTGAAAGAGCATAATAATACTTTCCTATATTTTAGGCATAGTAGACTAAATGAGTACAAATGAAAGCAATGGTCTTTTAATTCTTCTTTTGGTTGAGAATGGTATCGCAGCTCCCCATAAAAATTGTTATAAAATGGGAATGCCCCAGTATTTAAATTCCATGACTCTATGCCCCTGTCACCTGGGAGAAAGTCCCCAGGTAAAATAACTGGCTGCTTTCAAATTTCTCTTAGCTTTGTTGTTGTGGAAATAAGTAATATGCTCTTTCATCATTTCTGAAGCTACAGGGTACATCAATATGCACATTAGCTGGGTTCCCAGTAGTCCCTACTTGACAGAAAAGCATTCAGAGCCAATGAAATTTCACTTCTCTGCATAGCAACCCAAGTTAGGGAAGAACTTTTCTTAATTCTAGGAAGCAGTGGGGTGGGGGATGAGTGACTTAGCATTAGCATTGGGAGAATATTTAAGAACAACAGTTGTTCTAGAAGTATTGCCTACTCCCACTCTGTCTGCGATTCTAAAACTTAGCTGTATTGTGTTACATGTGGCAGCTCCCCTATAAATTCTTTCTGCCCTGATAGTCAGGAATTCTGCCTGTCATCTTGCTTAGCTACCTACCTGTCATTTCTACTTTTTCTATATGCTTTAGGTCAAAACAAAACAAAACAAAATAACAAAAATAGAAACAAAAATAAAAAAGCTTCAAAAGTCATTTGTTTTTTTTAACTGTTTATGCAAAATAAGTCTACTATTATTATTATGGTATTTTCTCTCTCCCTCCTCCCTGCCCTCTCTCTTTGTAAGCATCTGTTTCTAAGACATAGAAGTTGTATCCATCTATATGCTCTCTAGAATTAGAAAAGTTTTCAGAGAGATAGCCACTTCTGAGAATTTCATCTTACTTCAAACTGATTTTTCTAACAATTATAGTATTACTTGTTAGTATTATAGCTCATTGATTTTGTTTTTCTTTCCAGGCACCTAAAACTTTGAGGTAAAAATCTGAGAAGGGGGTCAGGGATTGTGGAGGAACACAGTAGAAACAAGAAAAGAAAGAGGGAAAAGGACACCGTTGGTACTGAACAATTCATTGTTTTGGGTTCTTATAAAACTATTTTTTGCATTTGCAGCAGGAGAATGGTCTGCACTACCCTCTTCAGATAAGTTAATCCTCTTCCTGGCTATTCCCTCATGTGTCCCCCAGGTCAGGGCGGAGGATGCACACTGCACACGGCCCAAGCACATGGCCCAGGGTGTGACTGGAAGTACACAATACTAATTTCCTCCCCTTTCTTGTGTCTGTTATGACTTTTAACACCATTTTTACAGTGACATGGAAATTGTATTGCCAAAGGCTTTACATTAATTCTATTGAAGAAGGAGACTAGAAGCAGTTGGGGAAGGAGCTTCTAAATTCTAGAGCTCCAAAGGGTATACTTTTAGGACATTCAGAGCAAGAAAGTGTTCAAATCAAGAAAAATGAGCACATCTAGCATTGTGGTAAAGATTACTGTGGGGTCTACACAACTTGACTATAAAACAGAAGCTAGCAAAAAGACCTTTGCTATGAAAATCTATAAATCAAACTTTCTGAAAATTCAAGAGATCATCAGTATAAGCAATGTAAATTAACGTAGAGGATGTTTTGCCATGAATGTTTGAACATAATTCCCACCTTATATGAATTACGAATTTGTTGAAGGAACAGTTTCAAAAGTGGTTATTACCTCTAGCCCCACTCTTTCATGCCACTACATTGCTTCATCAGAGAGAGAGAGAGAGAGAGAGAGAGAGAAACACCATGAATTTTACCTTATCCTTTGGGAAATTAAAAACAAAAATTGTTCATTCTTATAAAGTACTTTTCCATGTGAA